GTTGTCACCTCGTTCGGCGTCGTCACCGTCGGCAAAGTCAGCACCTCTACACTCGCTGCGGACACCCTCAAAATTGCCGAAGGCGAGAAGAACTTCGTGTCCACGTTTGCGTACGAGGTCAGCAAGCACCGGTGCTACGAGCGCGAGCTCAAGGGCTTAACCAAGAAGGTTGCGTATTGAGTAGTAATTTTGGGGACGGACTTCGTGTAATTTTAAGACTTTCAAGAACCATGTTGTGAGAGGCCATATCTTTTGTGTCATTGTGTATTTGTAATATAATGACAGCAAAGGAACAGAAAGCGTTGGTACAACAGCTGTTGGACCGTGTGAAGAGGTCTGTGACTTGCCAATTGTTGACAATATCGGCAGGTCATGGATGCATGGCCGTCCTCATCCATTAAACAAGCGCCAAGCTCAGACCGTCCCGGCAGACTTTCCCAAATCGATCAATCTTATATAGTGTTTATTGTGGCGTACGGTATTGTTAATCTTAAACCATCATCCAGTCCTCTGAAGGCCTCTAACGGGCGGCCTAGCACTCCCCAGACGCCATCAAAATTGAAGCAAAATTCTCTGAAGCCAAGCGATCTTAGAACATCACACACTCAGCATACCCGGGCCTTAGACTGTTTCAACATGTCCCAAACGTTGGAGTATCCGCAGCTAGGCGGCGAATACTGCGAGCTTTCCCCCATGTCCGATATTAGTGACCGCACAGAGCGACCGCGGACGTACGAGCCCTCTAGCCCATCGGAGATCCTAAGGAGCTCTCGCCACATGGACCTGATAGACGATGACGGTGAGCCTCTCGCCCCCACCTATTACAGACCACCTGAATACAACTGCCACCCAGCAGGCTCCTCAGGCTCTTCCCCATCCCCCACGACGCCATGCACGCCCATGCAGCACGCCGGTTACAGCGGGCAAAGGCCGCTCATGCTTAAGCCACCCGTGACATGCCCACCTATCACGCCATCGAGGTCGCGGAGCACAATCTCCCCATCGGTGGTGCCAGCTGCGGCGTACGCGGCGTACTTCGAAATTCTCGCGTCAGGCAACCGCCGCCAGTACGGCCGGGCACAGGAGATGGGGTACGCCCTCTTCCCCGGCTCGACGCCGCCGAACACGCCGTCGAAGGCTGTGTCTGCGCGGACGAAGCCACGGAAGCTCTTGCCACTGAGCCTGTACGGAGACGCGAGATCCGACGCCGTGACGGTGCCGGATGAGAGTGATGATGAGGTTCACCATGTGGACGTCGAGTATCGGGACGAGGCACGGGGTGTGGAAGAAGAGTTGCGCACTGATAGCTTCTGGATGGAAGACGCTATCTTGTCACAAGAGGAAATTTTCCACTATGAGGAGGGCATAAGGGAGCAGGACAGCGTGGAGTATAATTTAGTTCTTTGTCGAGCCATACGTGAGCTGCTCACCGCCCGTCCCAGTATCCGTGCCTCAAGTTCGCATCCGAGCAGCTGCGATGTTAGCGATGGGGAGGAGCGAGAGGAGCAGGGGCGCCATGACACGGGGTGCGCAGTGGGAAGAGGTGAAGCGAAGGCTTGGCAAGACGAGGTGATGGCTCAGGGTACTAGTCTCGGCGAGGCCGCGTTTGCAAGACCCAGAAGGATGAAGGTGCACAGGTTCTGAGACGAGAGGTGGTGAGTGTATGGACTTTCTTCGCGGTTCAGCATATGGATCTGAAAGGTAGAATTTGAACGACGCGCTCTCTGCAGCTTGACGAGGCCTTCGTGCTGCTGAGTCTACCCGGTAGTACCGGGGAGAGAGATGTTGGGTGAATCCTCCACGACAAGCCAGCGAGTGCTCCATTTACACTATGGTCTTATTGTTCAGTCAGACAGTGGTTTGCCGTAGAAAGATGGATTCCATATTACTGTACTCACCCCTGTGACGACGCTCTTCACTGTATCTGTTTACTGTATACCTGTATATTGTACCCTTATGATCATGAGGTCTTGTATCGCATCACAACCAACCTGCCTCTCCGCCGCCTCGACTCTAGTATACCAGAGTCGGCCGCCATCGGACAAGTTCGGTCAAAGCTGCTTGCTCTAGAAGTTACTCGCTTGAACTACCTTGCTCGAATGAAAGGTAGGCGGCGTAATAATTGAAGCCAATCTATTGGGCACGTGAGTATCCTCACGGTAAACCTCCCTCGTGGACACTAAACAGCCGCTTCTGCATGAGTCGCAACCACATGCAGGCACGCGTTCATTAAGTTTCGTTGATCTGATACAAGTGTATTCAAGAAACATCATCTGTTATGTTGCGTCCCGGTAACAGAATGTTCTATTAATTACTTCACTACGTAGTCCGCGATTTGTATTTCGTACGCACGAGGTGACAGTCTCCCATCCAGGTTCTCTTTTTCTCTTTGTGCTCCAAGTAGCAGCATGCGAATAACCCAGCCTTAACCGTCGAAAGACGCACGAGCGCCTCATTCGTTCAGGTTCACGCTGCTCACGGTGACGGCCTCGTCGTGCTTGTTGGGGTCGTACGCTCGGGCCCAGTCGGGACGTCTACCGGCCATCTGGGCGCCGGTGCTCTCGCGGCGCAGCCCGCCGACGAGCGGGGGTACGAAAGACATGCTGTTCGACCGCGAGCTGCAACCACCAGTATCAGATGACCCCGACCAGTGTACATCAAGACCAAAGATATACTTACGACGAGCGCGACGAGCGCAGGGTCGGCACGTTTGACAGGTGCGCGAAGCTGCTCGGGAAGAGCGGATGCCCGGGTCCACGTTCCGCGAGTGCGTCGTACACGCTGTCCTTGTCGGACGCAGCGCTCAGTCGGCGCGGGCTGGGCGAGATCGACGCGCCGCGTCCAAGCGAGCCGACAGACGAGGAGCTGAAGCCATGAGGGAGGAGGATGGGAGACACCGACGGCTGAGCACTACAGGAGATTCGCAAGCCCTGCACGTCGGACGGAAGAGACGCTGGGAATTTCGCCGCATCGCCGGCGCCCGCGCCTTCTTGCTCAGCAGCCTCCTCGTCCTCCTCGCGCAACTCATGCAGCGAAGTCATGGTCGCGCCAGTGGTGGGGTCGACGGTGCTTGGCGGAGGGGGCGCAGCTGGTAGCACAGGCTCGATGGAAAGCTCTGTATCAGAGTCGACGGGTGAAGGCGGGGGGAAGGTTTGAGACCCGGAAACGGACCCCGTGACGACCGGGGAATCAGGCTCGAAGACGTCGGCATCGAGCATCTGGGAGTTGAGACCGAGGCGAGGAATACCTTGCGGAATGGCGATCGGTGCACGCGCTGAAGGAATGTACGCTGCGAGCGGATCGATCTCCTCTTCCAAGAGCTCATCGGTGTCGAGCTCTGGTGGGATGCCTAAAGCGCCCTTGGCACGCTCCCAGATAAGCTCACTACGGGGGCGGATACATTGCCTTGCTCTGTGGACCCATGTTGCATCGTCAATCTCTTCGCGCGGAATCTTCTTGAGCCAGTTCTCCAATTCAGCGTAGCTCCATAGTCTCGGGTCACTGTCCACGCTTGGGGTTTTCGCGTTGGGTACGGCACTTGCTGGAGCACGTGCGTCGGGAGGAAACGTCTGGGACAGCAGGGCAAAGAGCTTTGCAGTTGGAGAGGTGGAGATGAGAGAAGTAACCTCGGATGGCCTGTCAATGAAAGGAAGATATACATCGTCTGGAAGTGGGGTGAAGTTGACCGAGGTTGACCCGGCCAAAGGTCCAGAAGGCTTTGGGTGTGTGGAGTTGTGCGCCAATTCAACCAACTGCTCGGGGGAGAGTTTTGTATATTGGGGTAATGCGGAACTGCCTGCGCTGGGACGCCTGACGAGCCCGGGGCCCCCAATACCTCCGGGGGACGAAGGGCGCAGCTTGGGAGACCCAGTCGGACTAGACCGTCCTCCGCCTTCTCCTGCCTTGATTGGTGTGAACGACGAGAAGGCAAAGCTCAGACGCCCGGCCTTTCCCTCACTAGACGTGGAGCTGATCGATGTGTTGCTTCCATCGCGGCGATGCCTGCGGCCGCCGCTTTCTTGGTCTTGCTGGGGAACTCGGACGATTGTCAGCCTGCTAGACGACGACCGCGTTGGTTTGAAGTTGACGTCAGCATGCTGCCCCCAGGGGTCTGCTGCAGAGACTGAGCCACGTCTCGCAGAGAGTCTGCGGGAAAGTGTAGGACTGCCGGAGATTGGGCTTTGCAACGGGGAAGCTTCAACACTATTGGCGGCGGACATGGCTGCGATGTGCAGTCAAGCTTTCTGGAGTAAAGTTTGTGCACTTGTGAGGTCTCACCGAATGCTATTCGTGCGTACGAATACCCTCAAGGTGGTGCTCTATCTCCAGGAGTGATGAGTGCTCCGCGTCACTCGACCGTTGATATGCGCTCTTACAGGTCGGTACTTGGGTGTTTCGACGTGTCGGAGTCGTCGCTGATGTCGTTGTCGCTGTTGGCGGCGGTGAGAACGAGCGGGAGGGAGTAGAGCGTGGTAGAAGAAGAGGGTGCTGCAGGGGACATCGTCGACTGAAAGCGAATACGTCAAGGCTGTTCCAGAAAAGGTAGGCAAGTGTATGGGGAAAGTCCAGACCCCTGAAACCCCAGATCGTCGTGATGTAACTGCTTACGTAGGCAGATTCTATCATCTCAAGCGGCAAGTGCTGTGGTTGCGTCTTGCAACTCACTCTCGCTGCACACGACGCATGGATTCGGACGCTCTTGGCCCAAAGCTGGCAGATGGAGGCGACCAGGCACAGGATACACGTCTTGCAGAGCCTCCCGAAACCGAACATGCAGGACTGCACGACTCCTCGGAAATGTTAACAGACACACCACCATCAACATTAGTCGAGCCAGAGGTCCCCGACCCATTTGTGGTCGATGACGGCGACGATGACGATGAAGACGACGAGTCGCATCCTGACAACGAAGGAGACAAAGCGGCAACTCCAGATTTGCTAGAGGAGGAAGAAAACCCAGCAGCAGAGGATGAGATTGCTCTGGTCCAGTCCACGATTCTCGAACCTCTACCAGACTTGGACAAACCAGTTCCACCTCCTCCAACAGATAGCTTGCCTGGCGTAGAATCTGTGTCCCAATCAAGCCTAGCTTATCGTGATGACACAGAAAATAATGAGGAAGATGAACCGTCAGAAGACGACGAGCCTCCAGAGCTCTATCTTCCAGGCCTCATCCTTCCGACTATGTTCCTGCCCATACCTAATGTATGTATTTATTATATGTGCATGCACTGTCCATTCAATAACACGTTTCACAGACAGATCCCGTCACGAATTTACTCATCAAATATATTCCACCTGAACGCCGTCCCACGCGGGACGTAAGTGGTGAATGGCAACACACCGACTTCCATACCTTGGTGGTATGTGCTATGGATGCTACTAGAAGTGTCTCCTTGACACGTATCATCATGGCAGATGACAAACAGCTGGCGCGCTCTTGCGCGCATGGCCCGTGATAGGATCGTCTCCAGCAACCCGGGCGACGTCGGGCTGATCCTCGAGCTGTGGTCGCTCCGGCTCACATCTCTCTCACGGCTGCGCCTCTTCAACCAGACATCCGCAGAGCTGAATAACCTGTACTCTGTGCTCACGTCGAGCTCGATCCCGGCCGAGTCCTCGCCCGACGGCAAGCCGCGCGAGTACCTCTGGCAGAGGCTCGTGCCGTTCGAGCTCGAGGTCCTCCATGCGAAGACGCGCTACTGGGCCGGCGATCACATGGGATATGTCGACGAGCTTGTGGGGTTGATCGCAAGGTGCAAGCGCAAGGCGCGCGAGGCTGGCGAGGTTAAGAACCCGAGACCGCCGAAAGTGGGGCACGGCGGATCGCAGCAGAGCGAGAAGGAGAAAGCGAGAGAAGAGCGCAGGCTCGAGCGCGAGAAAGTGAGGGAGAAGGAGCGGGAACGCAAGCAGGAGATGTGGAAGGAGCGTGGCGCACGGGTGTGTTTGATCCTTGCAAGCCAGCTGTGCGAGATGAAGGTATGCGCGTGCCCATCTCTAGCGACATCCATTGTTAATATTTGTCTGGATAGGAATACATAAGTGCGACACGCCTCCTCCTCCCACTCGCACACCAATCGCACCCTTCGTCATCCGGCGAGAAGCTGACGTCCCCACACATCCTCGCCGCTATTGGGCGTATCCACCTTCAGGCAGGCGACCTCGGCAAGGCTGCATCGTGCTTTGCGCAGGTGGCCACACACGTAGCGCAGCGGGTGGAGCGCGACGAAAGCCTGGAGGACCTCGTGAAGATGAGCGACGCGCTTCTGGCGTGCGCCGAAGGGCGCTTCGAGGATGCAGAACACGGGTTCGTCGAGCTTGTGAGAAGTGAGGGTGAGGCATATGCCGTAGGTGTCCTGATTTTCCATCTTTGCACTATAGACTGATATAGCACCGAAAGGCGACGAGCAACCTCGCCGTCACGCTGCTCAGCCAGGGCAGGCTGAAAGAGGTACACCCCTCTCTCCGCTCACCCCCACCGAGACCGCTAATTTCCGAATGGCACAGGGCATCTACGCCCTCGAGCAGGCCCTGCGCCAGTCACCTGCGATGCTCTGCACCGCGGAGCCCTTCCTGTTCAACCTCTGTGCGTGTGTCATTTTGTGGGGTCGTAGATTTGTGCTGACGGAGCTCGTGAAGCGACGCTGTATGAGCTGCGCTCGAACACTGCGGCAGACAAGAAGCGGGAGCTGCTCATAGAGGTCGCCAAGTGGGCCGGCGATGGACTGAGGACGGCGTGTCTGAAGATGCCAACGTAGACATATGTCATACCCGTGCGCGAAAGAAAAGGCTCGGTGTTTCATACTGGGATATGACGAGTGTATGTGCTTATGTATTAGGTTCGCAAAAGGACACCTCGGGTAGACTTTGGCGTGTCATTTGAGCCGAGCCTCTACAATTTTCGGCTTATAGTCTGCAATGTGTTCGATGCATGTTCGCGGAGTAAACGACGAAGGGAAAACGGAAACCTTTTGCCCCTTGATTGCCACTTCCAAATCTCACACAGGTAGGAAATCCGAACGCCGCCAGCTCGACACCCATCTTCCAACAAGCACAGGCCAGTCTATCTTGGCGATGTCACGGGTGCACGTCGTCACCCGTTCGGCAGCAGAAAGATCGTACACTGGCTCGTCGTTCCCATTTGGATGGTCCACATACTGCCGTAGAGCGTTAGAACATGTTAACTCAGCCCTGATCTGCATCAGCGTACCTCTTGCCACAGGTCTAGGAGACGAGCGGTGGCAGGATCCAGGCGGTCTTCAGCTTGTAAAGCCCTTAGGCGAGACATCCATTCGGTAGGGGCTACCTTCTGGAAGGAGAGGCCAGAGGAGGAGAGGCAGGATAACAGGTCGTTCCAAAGAAGCTTGTTAGGATTCAAGACGTGGGCAATGGGTAAGTCACCATTCGCTGAGAACTCCCGGGGAAGTGAAGTGATAGAGAAATTCGCAATAAGCATGATGGCTCGAGCTGCGATGTCGAAAGGCAGCAGTGATAATTTCTGAGAAGAATATTCGCGTCAAAGCTCGCACAGGATAGGGCCAGAATTGCGACGAACCTCGTTCGCTAGTGTCGGGAGGCATCCCGTGTACCGCAAACTAGCAATGAGCAGTGGCCATGCCTCGCTCTCGTTCCAGATTCCGTCTTCAGTATCGCCGCACAGCTGCCCTATGCGTGCGACGGCCACACGACCTGCCAAAACGGTCTCGTGCGCGTTCTGGCACAGGTGTTCAGCGACCCATTTCGACCGCGCGTAGCCCACAGGCGCAGCAGCGCTTTCGTTTTCCGGGAGACGCTCGTAGACGACGTTCGCCTCGTCCACGGAGTTGAGTGCGGCAGATGTTGAGGAACAGAAGACGAGGCGAGCTCCTCGTCGGGAGCGGGAGGTTAAATCTAGCAAATTTCGCAGGCCTAGAATAAATGCGTGAGACGTGCGCCGTTCAGCACATCAGAGCATACCTCTAAGTGCTGGCTCGAAGCTCTCAAGGTTCAGTGCAAAGTTGACCGGCCAAGCTACCTATGAGGGCATTTAGCCAATAACGAGCTACTGTGGCGAATGTAGAACGCACATGGATCACGGCAACAGTCTTTTCGACCATCTCCTGGAAGACATCCTCTCGCAATC